CATCTCCGTAGGCCTCGGAGAGGACATTGTGAATTACACAGTACAGCTGACAGTCACTGAGTGCTCACTCAGTGGTACACTGCAGTGTACCATGCACTGTCCTAGATGTTTTCCATACAGTACCTCATTTATTCTGAGGTAGGTAATCTTACTCCATTTTATAGATGTGGGAACTGAACCAATGATTTCCCAAAGGTCACATAGTTGCTAAATAACAGTGGAGTACAGGCTGTCTGACACCAGAACCTGTGATCAACCATATAGGCCAAAGATAGATGGCAGTACTTAGTTCTAGAAATTTTTAAAAACTATTCTATGTGAAGTTCATTCTTTCAACTGCTAAAATTATTTCAAGCACATTAGCAAATCATAGAATATAGACTATTCTATAGAATATAGAATCATAGCTATAGAACAGCTACAGATAAAAATGAAGAACATCTATCTCTCTATTTTTGTGCCAGTACCATGCTGTTTTCATCACTATAGATTTATAGTATAGTTTGAAGTCTGGTAGCATGATTCCTCCTGAGTTGTTTTTATTTCTGAGTAATGTCTTAGCTATTCGAGGTTTCTTCTGGTTTCATATAAAATGAAGTACTATTTTTTCCAAATCTTTAAAGTATGATGGTGGTACTTTGATAGGGATTGCATTAAATTTGTATATTGCTTTGGGTAATATGGACATTTTATCAATGTTGATTCTTCTCAGCCATGAGCATGGTATGTTTTTCCATTTGTTAACATCTTCAGCTATTTCTTTTCTCAGAGTTTCATAATTCTCTTTATAGAGATCTTTCATGTCCTTTGTTAGGTAAATTCCCAAATATTTCATCTTTTTTTGGTACTACTGTAAACGGAGTAGCATCCTTGACTGTTTTTTCAGCTTGACTATTATTGGTATATATAAAAGCTACTGATTTGTGAGTATTGATTTTTGTATCCTGAGATGCTACTATATTCCTTGATCACTTCTAAGTTTTGTAGTTGAGTCCCTGGGGTTTTCCAGGTATAAAATCATATCATCTGCGAAGAGTGAAAGTTTGATCTCCTCTGACCCTATTTGGATACACTTGATTGCCTTCTCTTGCCTGATTGCAGTGGTTAAGACTTCCATTACAATGTTTAAAAGCAGTGGAGACAATGGGCAACCTTGCCTGGTTCCTGATCTGAGTGGAAATGTTTTCAATTTACTGCATTGCATATGATATTGGCTATGGGTTTGCTGTAGATGGCCTCTATCAGTTTAAGAAAAGTCCCTTCTATACCTATTTTCTTAAGTGTTCTGATCATGAAAGGATGCTGGATATTATCAAAAGCTTTTTCTACATCTATTGAGAGAATCATATGGTCTTTGTTTTTTATTTTGTTTATATGATGTGTTATATTTATAGATTTGTGTAGATTGAACCAACCTTGAGACCCTGGGATAAAATTCACTTGGTCATGGTGTATAATTCATTTGATGTGTTGCTAGGATCTTATTGAATATTTTTGCATCTATATTCATTAAGGATATTGGTCTATAATTTTCTTTTCTTGTTGGGTCTTTTCATGGTTTGGGGATCAGGGTGATATTTGCTTCATAGAATGTGTTGACAAGTATTCCTTCTTTTTGTATGTTTTGGAAAAGGTTAAGTAATATAGATACTAGTTCCTCTTTAAAGGTTTGGTGGAATTCTGATGTGAAAACATCTGGTCCCGGCCAGACTCTTCTTTTTTGGGAGATTTCACATAGTTGATGCTATTTCAGTACTTAATATAGGTCTGTTCAGCATTTCCATTTCTTTCTGGCTAAGTCTAGGAAGGTGCCTGCTTCCAAGTACTGGTCAATTTCTTTCAAATTTTCTTGTTTCTGAGAATAGAGTTTTTTGTAGTATTCATTAAGGATTCTTTGAATTTCTGAGGTGTCTTGTTATTTTGCCTTTGTCATTTCTGATTGATGATATTAGGGATTTTAATTTTTTTTTTTTTTTTTTTGGTTAGGTTGGCCAAAAAGGTTTATGGAATAGAATTGAGAACCAAGAGATGAACCCAGACACTTATTGTCATTTGATCTTTGATAAGCCTATCAAAAACATAAATTGAGGGAAAGATTCCCTACTTAACAAATGGTGCTGGGGGAGCTGGCAGGAGACTTATAGAAGACTGAAAGTAGACCCACACCTTTCACCATTAACAAAAATTGACTCTCACTAGATAAAAGATTTAAACTTAAGATATGAAACTGTAAAGATTCTTGGAGAGAGTACAGGGGAAACACTTGAAGAAATTGGCTTGGGAGAATACTTTATGAGGAAGACCCCCCCCCCAGGCAATTAAAGCAAACCCAAAAATACATTACTGCGATCTGATCAAACTAAAAAGCTTCTGTACAGCCAAAAACACAGTAAGTAAAGCAAGCAGACAGCCCTCAGAATGGGAGAAGATTATTTTGCAGGTTATGTTTCTGACAAAGGTTTGATAACCAGAATCCTCAGAGAACTCAAACTTATTAATAAGAAAAGAACAAGTAATCCCATTTCATTGTGGGGAAGGGACTTGAACAGAAGCTTCTCTGAAGAAGATAGTGTATGGCCTACTGACACATGAAAAAATGCTCATCATCTTTAATCATCAGAGAAATGCAAATCAAAACCACTTTGAGATATCATCTAACTCCAGTAAGAGTGGCTCACATAACAAAACCCCAGATGTTGGGGTAGATGTAGAGAAAAGGGAACACTTCTGTACTGCTGGTAGGAGTGCAAGCTAATATGTCCCTTTTGGAAAGAAGTATGGAGAATACTCAGGGATCTAAAAGTAGACCTGCCTTTTGATCCTGCAATTCCTCTACTAGGTGTACATCCAAAAGACCAAAATCAGTTTATAACAAAGATATTTGCACCAGATTGTTCATTGCAGCTCAGTACATAACAGCCAAGTCATGGAAGAAGCCCAAGTGCCCATTGACCTACGAATGGATTAATAAATTGTAGTATGTGTATACCATGGAATATTATGCAGCCTTTAAAAAGATGGAGACTTTACCGCTTTTATGTTTATATGGATGGAGCTGAAACATATCCTAGTTAGTAAAGTATCCCTAGAATAAAGGAAAAAGTATCCAATGTACTCAGTACTATTATGAAACCAATTTACAATCACACACATTTTTATATGAAGAATGGATCACAACTATGGCCCAGGATGAAGGAGGGAGCGGGGATGGAAGGGGAGAGGGGAGGTCAGATGGAGGTAGGGTGAATGGTGGGATCACACCTATGGTGCAATTGCAAGGGTACAAGTCGGATCTATTAAGTATAAATGTCTTAACACAATAAGTAAAAGTGAGGGATGTATTGACCAATAAGATATAAGCATTCAAAACTGTATATGAAATCAGCACATTGTACCCCCTAAATACATTAATGTATACATGATCTACCTCTTTACGATTTAAAAAAAAAAAAAAATGAAGAACAACCAGAAAAAAATGTTACCAAACCTGGAAAAATTAGGCAGCTAACTCCTGTGTGGAATGTGTGAGAGCATGGAGGATGTGGGGTAGGGGATATAAGGGAAAAGGAATTTTTAGGATTCAATTCAAGAGTGAATTACTCCATGGTTCCTCATTCAGGAAACATTTGAACTATCATTGCCTTTATTGCCTATTTATTATGTTTAGTCATTTTTCAAAAAGTATAGAGAAATAGTTCTCAAACAGATATGTCTTTTATCAGCACCCTAAAACTAAGTGCATGAAATTAAAACCTAACTTGGAAAAAAAAATCCTGCATAGGTTTGAGGGAATAGTATCCTGTTGCTGCTTTTCCTAACAATCTACTCTTCTACTAATCTCACACAAGAGTGAGACCAAAGAGAGATCTAGCACATAGTCACTAGACTTTGCCAGGTCACAAAGGATGTTTTGTTTTTTAATATCCTGCCAACAACATGCTATTTAGTAAAGATTATTTAAATTTCATTGCATTTCTATAGAATTTGATGCTATTCAAAATGATATCTAACTTAATTTAGATGATGAGCGGGAAGAAAATAAATAGGAAGCATACTTAGAAGATACAGATGTTAAGGTAGGGAATACTGTATCATCTTATGATAATATAACTTAGAACATGTTAAGATGATAAAGCATTTTAGATTTAGTAATCAGACACTATATTTTTAGTGGTAATGTTCATTGTGTTCATTATGTAGCCTTTTCTCTAGTCTTAGGACTTTAGATATTCCTAACCTTTTGAGTTCCCTTTAAAAAAGCAATGATGGCTGTGAATCCTCTCCTTCCAAAACAAATAGATCTAAACATCTGTGTGACTTTGGGGCCAGATGCAGTGGGACACACCTATTAATATAATCCCAGCACTTTGGGAAGCTGAAGCAGGATTACATAAATCCAAGGGTTTGAGACCAGACTAGGCAACATAGTGAGACCTTGTTCTCTACCAAAAGATTTTTAAAATTAAGCCCAGCTGCTCTAGAGACTGAAGTGGGAGGATTGATTGAGCCTCTGAAGTTATAATGAGCTATGATCAGCCACTGTACTCTAGCCTGGGTGACAGAGTCAGACCTGATCTCTAAAAAAAATTAATTGATTAGTTAATTAAAAAATAAATATATAACTTTAAAAGGGGAAATGAAAGTTATAGGATATGATTTTGTCAAAGGATTTTCTAGCCAATTTAATATATTTTTTTCTTGGATCTGGCAACTCTCTATGCATTTAATATGTTTAGGGAACTGGGTTTTCTGATTAATTTAAAATTCTGCTTATGTCATACCTTACCATACTTGAAAAAACAGTTTTCAAAGAACAGAATACAAGAACTCTACCATTTATTATTAGTGATTCCAAAAGCATTTCAGGATCTGGTAATGACTTAGAAACAACATTAGCAGCCCTAAACTTTACTTAATCCTGTGTACTTCAGCTTTCTCATTATCGAAATTGTAAGTGTTTGACCTTACTGTAATAGGAGTCTCTGTTTTCTGTATTTCAGAATTGCCTTTGCCTTCAGAAAGTGTGGATGTTATCATTTCTGACATTCCATTTGGGAAGAAGTTTAAATTAGGAAAGGACATCAAAAGCATTCTACAAGAAATGGAAAGGTAAGCTGTTGAATATATTTCCATAATTTTTTAGCTACTGGGCATTTAACCAAAATATGTCATAGCTCTTCAATTAAGGTCTGATTGCATTGTAATAATTTCCCAGAGATTTTGCAATTGAAAGGTTATATACAAATGATAAAGTTTATAATTGAAATGTTATTCCATATCATCTTATGCTATATAAATTTTATTCAGAAAAATAATAATTTTTTATTGCCTGAAATGTGAGTATAGGAAATAGTGACATAGATTTCAGGCACTGCATTGAAGCAAAAAATTAATTTGCTTCTAACCTTCACAAAAACCCTGCCTCTTATGTGTTAATCCCTCGTACTTAACAGATGAGGAACGGGAGCCTAGAAAGATTGACTTTCTCATGATCACACGGCCACTAAACAACAGAATAGAATTCTGTTACGTGAGGAACACGCAGGAACACAGAATGGACGACATCCTCATTTTTGGCAGAGAAATGAAAATGCAGAAATATTATTTATCTGATGGTTTAAATGTTGGCCAAAGGAAATATAATTCAATGAAAGTATTTCTCTGAGAGGTTCTAACAGTGAGAGCTAGATGTATATTTATTCTATTTAAGTTAACAAAGGAGAGAGCTTAGAATGCATTCAGGAATGAATGAATGTGAATATAAGAAATCAGTTGATGCTAAATGGTCTTGCTGGGCATCTGATAGAATAAAATATTCAAGGGCCTGCTATGTAAATGGTGTGTCAGCATTTGCAAAAATGAGCCATGTGTTTGGATGGAGAAAATTCAGGGTCAAGGCTAACATTCTTTAAGGAAAATTAAAGTTTGACAAGAGGTTTAAGCTCAACTAAGGGCTGTCTCACTGCATTTTCTGAGCTGAGTGTTCCAAACTTTTTTTTTTTTTTGTATTATTTTTAAATGACTTGCCCTGCTACCCAGTTACCTAACTCTTGATATATTACCTTCTGAGCAGCACCTATAATTCAGACATTTCCTGAGCACTGATTCTTCCAATATCATGTCTGCCTCAAGCTGATTTTGCAACCTGAACTTAAGTAAAATTGTTTTAAGACCTATTAAAAAATACTGATGTCCATTCTCCACTCCTCCCCACCAAGGCTCTGATTTAATTGATCTGGGGTAGGATCTTGGCATCAGTATTTCTTAAAAGTTCCAGAGGTGATTTTGTTGTGCAGCCAGGGTTGATAACTAGAGCCTTTGAGCCTAACCAGATAGTTCTCCATCTATAACATTAACCAATCATGGTGAGATACTAATAACAATTGTTAGTAGTGATTTGCATTTAACCTGGAAATTTCCAGAAAGATAACGGCATATCCTAACTGAAAATCTATTGCTGCATATTGGAGCCATCTCAAGTCAGTAGGGGCCAGTGTTCTGAGCAGATAGTCCTTTCAATACTAGTAAATTATACCAGTCTAACTTTCTCTAGGCTGGGTTTGGGTTTTATTCCAAGTAATTGAAAATGAGACAGTAATAGATATGACTGCCTTCACATTATAGCAAAAAGTTCAAATATTTATCTGAAAATCAGGACGATGAATAGTCAAGACTTCCTGCATAATTAAAGTTCTTCAGTAGGATCAATTCAAAGTGTATATATGTAGATATATAAGGGACTTGTCCTGTGACCAAGCTTTCTTGTCACCTGCCCCCAGCGTTTCTGTCTGACTCTTGATTTGCTGTGGTTTGAGGTTTATACAGGCAATGTAGCTTAATACAGTGGCTAAGAGGACAGGCTTTGGGCCACCCTACCTGAGTTCCACTCTCAGCTCTATTACTTAAATAGTCTTTAGTCATAGGTGTATTGCTTAACTCTTTTGTGTAAATAATATTCACTTTGTAGCATTGTTCTGAAAATTCCGTGGATTTACAGCTCTTAGAACAGTGTTAGGTGCCCAGAAAGTGCTCAGTACCTATTACCTCTTACCTGATTTTTTAGTGTAAACCACTTCAAATTGTTTTAGAAAGTAGATGGGAATATATAAAAATACATCCAAGTACACATAACTTTTTTCTTGATGGTTCATTGACAGTTGAAGTTCCTAGCTGGGAAATGGAAGGAATGGAGAATTCATTAGGGAAAACAAAAAAGTACAGCGGTCAGTAAACCTGTTTATAATAGGCACTGATGTGATAACAGAGCTGGATTTCTTGAGAAACAATATGTATTCAGAATTAAAGATTGTCAGAAAGTGATTGCTCTGGTGGCATGAGCTATTGCACTCACAGCTCAATTGTTTCCTCCTTTAAGGAGTAATCTTTTTAATAGGTGCAGAGCACCCATAAAAAGTATAATATTTGAACTTCCTCTCAAATATAACCATGCAAAACATGAGGAAATTAGAAATTCAGCTTGCTCAGCTCAAAAGAAGGTGGCACTGTAGAGATAGTTTCAGGAAAGAACCAAGATTCCAGTAAAATTTGAAGCTTAGAAAGAATTTAAAAGGAGGCCACATCATGTTTTAAATGTACAGATCTTCAGTATTTCTTGAGTGAATATGCAGCAAAAAGCATGCTCAAGACACAGCGAGTACCCTGCACACCTGGAGCAGAGGGTTTGTAATAGCTTGTTAAGACTTAATGCATTCTAAGGACAAATAACTAAGGATTGTCATCTACCTCTGGTTTGCAAATTCACATGCAAAAGAGAAATCTCTTATGTTGTTTCCCAATTGACCACAAAATCTTTTTCAAGAAATAATATTTAATATTATCATTATAATATTATACCATTATTATGGTATAATATGATTTCCCAATTGACCACAACATTTTTTTAAGAAATAATATCTTATTAATATTATCATCATAAAATATTGATAATACTAATGTTCAAAGGAGGACAATTTGGTGAATGTTGCTGTATAATTTCAGAATAGCTTTCTTAGTAAGAAATTGTGTGTGTGTGTGTGTGTATGTTACATGGCAAGATGCCTAGAAGGACATTTATCAAAAATGTTAATCTATTAGTTGCAATATTTCAGGTGATTTTTTACTTTATTTTCTCCATTATTTGGGAAAAGAAATTGCAAGAAATGGTGACTATCCTGCTAGGCATCTTGCCATGTACATAGGCACAAATAGATACACGTTTTTTATTGCACAAAATTGAATCATCCTTATTTCTCTTCTGTAACATGCTTTTCTTTGCAGTATCGTGACTGTCCTTGCTGATTGGTTGTTATTATGTGCATTATAATTAGCAACGGTTACTATAGTATTATGTTATATTTATGTCCCATTATGCAACTTATTTATGGATGAACATTTAGGTATTTCCAATTTTTTTTTTTATTTGGGATTCATTGAGGGTTCAGAGCATTAGGTTAGACTGATTGCATTTGTTAGATAAAGTCCATCTTATAATTGTGTCCTGCCCCAAGAGGTGTGCCATATACCATGACTCCCCTCAATATTCCATGAGGGGAGTCATGGAATATACCATGACTCCCCTCAAACCCTCAATATTCCCCTCTCCCCCTGACTTGCTCATTCCCCTACCACTCCACCCCCCATTAGCTCATCTTCTGCCTTCATATTAGAATAGAGTACATTGGATTCTTGCTTCCCCATTCCTGTGATGCTTTAGTAAGAAGAATGTGTTCCACCTCCAGCCAGGATAATACAAAAGATGTAACATCTCCATATTTTTTAGTGGCTGAATAGCATTCCATGGTATACTTATACCACAGCTTGTTAATCCATTCCTGGGTTGGTGGGTATTTATGCTGTTTCCACATTTTGGCAATTGTAAATTGAGCTGCAATAAACAGTTTAGTGAAAATGTCCTTATGCTAAAAGGATTATTTTTCATCTGCGTAGATACCTAGTAATGGGATTGCAGGATCAAATGCGAGGTATAATTTGAGTTCTGTAAGGATTCTCCATGCTTCCTTCCAAAAAGGCTGCATTAGTTTGTAGTCCCACCAGCAGTGTAAGTGTTCCCTTCTCTCCACATCCACACCAGCACCTGCAGTTCCAATTTTTTACAAAAAACAATGCTCTGAACATCCTTGCAGTTTTTCAAACTTACCAGGTTTCTTAAAACCACATTGCCTCAGTTCCTTCACCTGCAAAATGACAATGCTAATAGAACATACTTGAAAAGATAATTCTGAGGGTTAACTCATATGTAATGCAGAGCATTTAAAACAGTATCTGGCACATAATAAATACTCAGTAAATATTAGCTGTCATCACCATTATTGCCACTATTTTTCTATTTCTATTACATCTTATATGTTACATAATTTCCTAAAAGTGAGATTGCTAGATCAAAGGTTATGCACAATTTATACTTGGAATACATTATTCCTAAATTACTGTCCCAATAAAGTATACTAATTTCTGTCTTGAAGAGTACTCATTTTCTTGTAATCCTGTCATCCTCAGTATAGCTATCCTTTTATCTTTGGTAATATGCTAGGTAAAATGTAGTATCTCATTTATTATGTTAATTATACTTTCTTTCATGTGTTTAGAGATGTTTGTGTTTTCTTCTTTCTGTCGTATGGTGTATAAGCACATGTGTCCCCATCCCACCTCCAACTCTCTCAGCAGAAGAGGTTTCTCTCTTCCTGCTAGAATTGATCCCCTGAATTCCTTCCTCCTCAAGAATTGTACTCTGCCCACTTCTCATTATTATTTTTGGCCTATTTCTCTCCTTGTTCTTTGAAGGAGATTGTCATCCCTTCCTCAGATACTTGTAGAGGTCTTTGCATCTCCCTGCATTGCACTAGGCCCTGGAGATGCAGGAGTGAGTAGGACAGGCAGGGACCATCCAGTGGCGGAAGATGGATTGTTAATAGATAAATAGGGTAATGGCAGATCATGATAGCTAGGATGAAAGAAATTAAACAGGATATTTTGCTGAGGAATGAGAGAAAAGCAGTGGTTACCTTACATAGGTAGTCAGTCAAGGAACTCTGGGCCTGAATAATGAAAATGCATACCAGGAAATGAGTGATAGTTACTTGCAGCATGAACAAGGCCAGACCTCAAGAAGTAGCTTAGTGAGCCTGAGCAGCTGAAGCAGTGTGCAAAGGAAGCTAGCAGGCAGTGAAGTTGGAAAGGTGGGTCAGGGTCAGATCACGTAAGAGTCTGTGCCATAGGAAGGAGGTTAGAATTTATTTGAAGTATGGTGAAAGCAACTGGAGAGTGAGCAGAGTGCATGGGGATTTGCATTTTTCTTCTGTGAGGAAACTGGGAAGGGAGACAAGAATGGAAACAAGACCTGTCTGCCAAGAGATGGTTGTTATGGTCCAGGTGGGATGTGAAAGAAGTAGATGAGGATGGGATACAGTCTGAAGACAGGACTGTCTAGACTTGTTGATGGCTTAGATGAGAGCTTGCATCTTTGCTGGGCATGAGGCAGATTCCCATTCTCTCTTGGTTCTCTAGCTGTCACCTTTTTTACCTGTACTGCTGAACATCTTGAAAGAATAGTCTAACTTGACATCTGTTTCCTTACCTTCCAGTCCCCACTCCACTCTGGCAGGCCACATCTGCTCCTGGCCTCAGCAAGGACTGCTGTCCCCAGGCTCACTCGTGACTTCTTGAAATCCTTGCCACTCATTAGTCCTATAACATTTGACACTGTTGAGACCATTGCCTTCTCTAGACTGTAGTTCTTTGGCTTCTATGATGTCACCATTGTCCAGATTTTCTCTAGGATGTCTATTTCATGAGCCTTCTCCTCTGTCCCTCCTTAAATGTGAAGTCTCTACTCCATGGCCCCTTTTCTCTTCTCACTCTGTACTGCCACCCAGATGATGCCATCCACCAGTATCACTCTATCTCCCATTAACTGTTTTTTTTTTTGAGACAGAGTCTTACTTTGTCACCCTCTGTAGAGTGCGACACTCACAGCAACCTCAAACTCTTGGGCTCAAGCAAGTCTCTTGCCTCAGCCTCCCTAGTAGCTGGGACTACAGGCACCCGCCACAACGCCTGACTATTTTTTAGAGATAGGGTCTTGCTCTTGCTCAGACTGGTCTCCAACTCCTGAACTCAAGCAATCCACCAACTTCAGCCTCCCAGAGTACTAAGATTACAAGCTTGAGCCACTGCCCCTGACTCCCACTGACCATGAAATTCTTTATCTCCACCTCAGCCCCCGTCTTTCTCATCCTACAGGCTGGTTATCCAGCTATCTGGTGGTGTCCTTAGGTACATTGGCATGTTCCAAGAGGAACTCTTTACTACATCCCCTGTACCCTGCCTCTGACTCACCCACCTGCTGAACCCCCACACCCCCTCTGACTCACACCCCTACTAAAGCACTCTCAGTGCAGCTCCTCTCCACTTCCTCCCATCCGTGCCAGGTTTTCTACCTCCAACACCCACCCTTGGCCCAGCCGTTCCTCACTGTTACTTTGCCTGGCTCACTCCTGCTTGTCCTTTAACTCACAGCATGGGTGCCTCATCTTTTGGGACATTTCTGCCCTCTCTCTCAGGCCTGGGTTTGTGTTCCCAGGCACATCACGCTCGCCTCGATTGTCACATTTATCACACTTGCCTCTCTCCCACTGTCTAGTCAGCTCTTTAACAACTCACAGGATGCAGGAAAACGTGTCTCTGTCACTGTTTTCTATGTAAGAGTTATGCAGAATTTGGTTGAATGACTGAATAAATGAATTCTCCTCAAAATGCTGACCTTTCAAGGTCTGCCCTTTTTCTAATCTTTCCTTGCCATTTCTTTGTTCAATCCTCTTTCCTGGTAACTTTCTGCTGCCATCAGCCTAGTGCCTTTAACATGCTGATTCTTTGGATTCTGTCACTTGCCTTTTCCTTTGTACAATCATTTATTAGACTGTGACTACAAATTACATTGAGGCTTGCCTTTTAAGTAGAGTAAAAATAGATAATTAAAGCAGATTTGTACTAGGGATTTCATAATTACTATAATGAATATGTATTATGGAAGATAGTACCTAATTATCAAAAATTCTTGTATTTAAATAGATAAAATTAAATTTCAAATTAAATGCACCAAACATTTTAAATGGAGTGGGATTGTTTGTTGTCTAAAAAGAAAGAAATACTCATACCAATTACCGCTTTTTGTCACAGAGTGCTTCACGTTGGCGGAACCATTGTATTGTTGCTTAGTGAAGATCACCACAGGCGCCTTAGAGATTGTAAAGAGAGCAGCATCCCTTTAAATTCCAAGAACAGCCACACAGATGAACCTGGAATTAAAAAGAATCTTGAAGAAACAACTGGTGTACCAGAGACAGAGCTGTCTTCATTTGAAGCCAGTAACCAGGAGTACTTAGACCAAATCTCACCATTTGGCTCTTTGGTACCAGTAGAATGCTACAAAGTTGGCCTTGGAAAGACAGATGCATTCATATATAAATATAAGAAGTCACACTCTTCACTGTAACAGGCTGGCTGCCATCAGCCAGGTTCAAGTCCTTACTTGTTAGCTGTAGGGTAGGAGAACTTGTTTTATGAGTCTGTAATTTTCATTGGAATAAAAATAATTTGTATTTTCGATTTGTTTTATATGTTTCATATTATGTAAAACATCCATGAGAATAATATTGTCAATATCCTTCAACATGATGGAAAATGACATTTACTTTTTGTCCAAACACATTAACAAATTGTCATTTCACCCTTATTTCTTGACATTCAAGATGTTTCTTGTGTTCATTGCTTAGGAAAAAGCAACAGTAAGTTACAGAAAATATATGTTCTTACATAATTTTTTCAATCGCCTGATATAGTGGTTCAGCCTATTGGCTACTTTAGGACCAATTGTATCTCTCTTGCTGCAACCAGAGATGTCTGGAGATACTGCCAGACGTCCTCCCTCGCTGAGGCCACTGCTTTATTCCAAGGAGTAAGGACTATCGCAGTGACTTTCAACCAGTGTGCCATGAGAGAATCTCAGGTGTGCCACGAAAATTTTTAAAGCTCATTAATTAAATTATTTTTGAAAGAAGTTTGAAACACAGTGAGTATATTCTCTGTTTTACTCTTTTATTGGATCAACATAATTTAAGTGTGCCATGGAAGTTTAACTGTATAGGTTTAAGTGTACTGTGAGATTAAAAAAAAGAGGTTGAAAAACACTGGATTATAAGAATCTTGGAGAAGAGAGACACAACTGGCATCTAGTGGATAAATTGGATAAAATTAGGATAAATAGGTAGTGGGTGGCAGGTGGAGGTGGTGGGTCAGATCAGATAGGGCCTTGAAGACAAGTGGAAGGACTTTGGTCTTTATTCAAAAGCACTGAAAGGGCATTTAACAGGTGACATTTAACATATTTTAGGGATCATTGTAGTTGCTGCAAATTATAAGGAGGAGAGGGTAAAAATAAATTAATTGAGAGTTTTTTATAATAATTCCAGCAAGCAAAAATGGAAGTTTGCCCAAGGATCACAATAACAGAGAAGTGGTAAAAGGCAGGTGCATGGTGGACATGGAAAGTAGAACCAGCAGAATCCACTGACATGTTAGCTGGGCCACGTGATAGTAGAGAGGAGACAGGGATGACAGCAAGACTTTTCGCTAAGAACCTGGAGCAGAGGGAGGAAAGGCTGCTAGAGACTTGCTAGAGAGTTGCTAGAGACATCAGAAGTTCAGTTTGGGACTTCCTAGTCTAGACAGTCTAATCTAACCTGTCTAGACAGTTAAACTAGCACATCTTGTTTAGACTTGCTTTTAGACAGTTTTGGACTTGTTATGTGTATTAACAAGTTTTGAAATGTGTATTAAATATCAAGTGGAGATGTTGAGCAGCCAATTGAACATATGAATCTGCACTTGAAGAAAAAGGTCTGTTCTAGGGTTGTATGTTATTCATATTCCTGAAAACTGGATGAGATCACCAAAGAATTGAGCACTAAGAGGTTGGGAGAACAGAAGGAATCCACAAGAACACTAAGATGGAGCAGCAGTGAGGTGGAAAGAAAGCCGAGTGTGGGAGAGGGCGTGCTCAACTCTGCAATGCTGCTACCAACCAGGTAAGACGAGGACTGGAAATGACACTGGAGTTAGCAATGGGGAAGTCATTAGTGACCTTGACAGTGGGGTGTTTGATGGGGCCACGGGGGAGCAAAACCAGACCGCAGTGGGTTCAAGAGAGAATGGGAGCAGAGCTGGAGGTAGTGAGCACAGACAACTCTTTCAATTAGTTCTGCAGGAAAGGGGAGCAAAGAAATAGGGGTGGGGGCCTTAGGTTGGTAAGGGATGTAGAATCAACAAAATGCTTTTTTTTTTTTTTTTAAGTTGGGAGTAGCAATATATATATATATGTTTGTTTGTTCGTTTTCAGGTTTTGGACCCGCCACCTCCAGCATATGAGTGTGGGGCCGGCACCCTACTCCTTTGAGCTACAGGTGCTACCCGCGGTATATTTTTTTATGTTGGAAAAATATGTTCCATGAAAGACAAAAAGTTGATGAAGTCAGAAGAAAAAGGGGAGAAGTGCTAGAGTGATGTCCTTGAGTAAGAGGATGGAATGCAGTCTGCAAGTGAAGGAATTCGCTTTAGATAGGAGCATGAATAATGTATCCATGGTGACGGGTGGGAAGGCAGCATGCAGACATTTCTGCTATAGTATGATAAGTGTGCCCCTGAAATTTTTCATTCTCAAATTTATGCAATAAAAATAACAGAATTTATAGGGGGAAAAATAGGGCTGCGGCAGTCCATTTCAATCTTATCCTACTTTACAACCAGAGCCTTAACAAAAACACCTTCTAAATAAAAATATTAGCACAGTTAAAAAGACAGTCCAAATAATAAATACATCAGTAAATAAAGGGCTCTGCCTTTTCAAGAGAAGGGCAAAGGCACCTTGATAGAATTGGGCATAAGGTAGGATAGAAGCTGCCAAGTTACTCAATCAGCACTGTCTGTCTGGCCAAGGCACGATCTAGGGCCTAGCAGAACCAAGAAGAGCATGTGATAACGGGTGTCCTGTGTAGAGCCTTGTTCCGCAGCTTGCCCATGCACTGTGTCCTTCACATTCCACTGCCCTTATTGGGTGACACAAAATAATGTGCTAAGGGCAAACAAATCACTTGTGAACCAACCCAATTTCCACATCGTGGTGACATCATGTCTCTCTCTACTTAGCAATATTTGATGTAATGCCTGTTGTTACAGAAACACGTGTTGTTGGAGAACAGACTGGAAATGAGAGCAGATGCTGGAAGGTGGGCGGATGTGGTGGTGGTAGACTGTGGAAGTTATCTTCTGACCACTTCCATTTTCTCAGTGAAAACCTACGTGATAATTTACCCAGTCCCTGGGTCTATACTTGGAACAGCTACTCGTAGCAATTGCAGAATTCCCATAATGGCTTTCTGACCCAGGGGGTAAGGGTGTCAATTATTGGAAGAGCCAACATCAACTCCTTAGTCTCCCCCCTTCTTCCCAAAATAGAAAAACTAAAGCAAAATCACATTTTTGTAAGGCTGGCAGATACTAGTGCTGATGGAACTCTTGGGCTTCTGAAGACATCTTTGGGTTTGCTACTTGGACTCATTTGCTTTTAATAGAGGCCTGGGCAAGAGAAGGCTCTCCAGCTGGTCTGGCCCCACAGTAAGCAGCTCTACATTAACGCCCTCATGACCTTGGGGAGCTAATGGTGCTCAGAGCATCTGTGGCAGACTGGATGCTGTATGAGACCTGCGGCCAATCCCAGTAGGATAAGCACAGCTGTAGCCTCTTAGCTTTTGGAACAAAGCCAAGCTCTCTCCTGCAAGTAATTATTTTCCTTTTAGAAATAACTCTTGGTTTGCTACTACACCTTGCTTCTTCAGGCTTGACCATGTGACTTAAACTCCCCATCTTTTCTTTTGTTGAGACAGAGCCTCAAGTTGTCTCCCTGGGTAGTGTGCGGTGGCATCACAGCTCACAGCAACCTCCAACTCCTGGGCTCAAGTGATTCTCCTGCCTCTACCTCCCAAGTAGCTGGGACTACAGGCGCCCGCCACAACGCCTGGCCATTTTTTGGTTGCAGCCGTCATTGTTGTTTGGCAGGCCCAGGTTGGATTCGAACCCGCCACCTTAGGTGTATGTGGCTGGCACCTTAGCCACTTGAGCCACAGGCGCCGAACCTAAACTCCCCATCTTAAACTGTAAGTGATTTAGTCCACCAAGCCCAGCCCCACTCACCCTCATCAGGTGGAAGTGGTACATATCAGCGCTGTACTCCACCAGTGACCAAATTCACCAGCTGCAGGACAGTCAATGCCTTATTCCCTCAGTGGGCATTCTGCCATGCCCCTACCTCATGGTTGCGGTCACATGAGAAAATCCCAACGAGCAGGTCACCAGGGAGAAAAACATCAAATCTAGTTTACAGATGGTTCTGCAAGTCTTTCTGGCACCAGGGGGATTTAACCATAGCCCCACTCAAGGTGAGGGACAGTGGGGAAAGAAAACCCTCTCCCAGAGCAGAACTTTGAGTGGTCCACATCAGATACTTTGCCTGGAAGGAGAGATGGGCTGAGAGCTCCACACCATGTCCTAGGCAGTGGCTAATGGTCAGGGACATGAAAGTGGGACTGGAGGACAGAACTGTGTAAGGACATCCAATAACAGGCCCCCAAATGGGAGAATATTTGTGTCTAATTGGGATGGTCACTAGAGAACCTGCTGTGGAGAGCTTCTAAGTATGCAGGTGGAAGCTTGTCTGCCCTTCCCCTGTCCTCTGGCATTTGCTCTATGGCCTTGCAGACAAGGTGGCCCTGGTTGCAGGGATGAAGATGATACATTGGTCCAACAAGAGCTTCTCACCAAGGCTGATGCAGCTTCTGCCACTGCTGACTAATTTTCAGCAACATTGACAAATCCTGAGATTTGTTATAACACTATTGCTGTGGTTGGAGTTTGACCCCTCTGAAACTCATATCGAATTTTGATCCTCACTGTGGCAGAGTTGGGAGGTAAGGGCCTAGTGGAGGGTGTTTAGGTCATGGGGATAGATCCCTCATGAATAGATTAATGCCCTCCCGAGGGACTGAATTTGTTTTCACTCTTGCAGAAATGGATTAGTTGCCAGAGAGCGGGTTGTTATGAAAGTGAGTTCTGCTTCCTCGCTCTCCATGTGATCTCTTTGCATATGCCTGCTCTCCCTTCTGCTTCTCCATCATACTTTGACCTGGCATGTGGCCCTCACCAGAGGTTAGCCAGATGTAGCACTATGCTCTTAAACTTCCCAGCCCGCAGAATCGTGAGCTCAATCAATGTATTTTCTTTATAAGCCATCCAGTCTCAAGTATTCTGTTACAGAGTAGACTAAGACAGCTGTAAACAGGGGGCGAATTATATTGAAAACCCTCTCTTTGTGGGTAGGGCAATAATGTGTCCTCACTGAAATAGTTATTACAGATTTGGATTCTCTATGCCAACAACACCTTCCATGAACTTAACAATTGCCTGTTCACTATTGTTCATTTGCATGTAACAAAGCTTCTCACCAAACAGCTCTTTTTACATGGATGTGAGTGAGACAAGAGGCTGAGGCTCATA